CGAATGAGATGAACGATCATCATTCAGTTCTTCCCCAAAATTTGGGTGACGGATAACTTCGTTGTTTAACTCGTTTAATGTTGGAATACAAATAGATATTTCTTAATATCCATAAAAATGCATTCCTCTCTCTCTTTCAATGCTGCTCCCTTGATCTTGTAAGTCTGCGCCAAATTTTCTTCCTACCACCTCTTAGAAAATTCCCAAAGTATTCAATCGCCTAGTTTAAGAAAAACAGCCAACATTTTATGACGTCTCCACTGGTTTCCTTGCAAAATGATGAGTGAGCAGCGACTGCAACCAATCCGAAGCACTATCCATATCTGGGTAGTGAATGTCAATAGTATGGGATTTTTGTAGTCGTTGTTTAGACACCATTTCATGGGAAAACCAGTGGCAGCATGTAGAAAGGTCGGCTGTTTCCTAAGGCTAGCAATTACCAAAGTTTTTCTCCCTCAAAAGGCCTTGTTTCTACTGCTATTGTAGATCATCAGTGTACCCGCATTGACATCACCCCTTAACTTCGACACAAAAGCTAATTTGCCGTTTGTTGTTGTTGTTTGTCAGTTGCAAGAAGGAAAGTATTTTCCTACTTTAACTTAGATTTCTGGTTACTACTCCCAAACTGTTAAAATTCATAAACACTTGTTGATCTAAAATAATTAAGCATATGAATGTAAATAATTTTTTCATGAAAGGACTATTATGATGCTGGTCGAGTCAGTCTCTTGAAGTCACTCTCCCTTCAGGGAGTGTATTACTCTGTTAAAAAATCGGTTTCAACGTTCAGTACCCAAAACGTCAAAAAAGAGTAACTATCTGAAATTTTTTTGAGAAGAGTTCACTTCCCCGAGGGTTTCTAAGGTGAACAATAGTCACCTGGATTAGAAGATTAACGATTGATTGTTGTTAAGAGAATGTACTCTTAAGTAGATTCAATGTTTAGTTATACATTATTGTGTTTGATGTGTAGATATTCATGTAATGTTTGAACGGTCCTTTTTGTTCATCAACAAACAATGCGATATTGCAACCCAGGGTGTGCGGTCTAAAAATAAACTAACAGTCAAAGTCAGAACAAACAAAAGTAAAGATGATTTTGGTTTTAATTTAAATCTCAATTCAATTTACAAGCTTTTCTTCTTCAAGCAATATTATTTGAAGTTACATGTCACATGCAGCAGTTTGGCAAAGCAGAAAAGCGAAACCTGGTAATTCTCATATTGAAAGAAACTTTGACTAAAATTGGAATATCAAATTTAAATGAATACATCACGCGCACAAAACGAGCATGCTAGGTTTTGATTGCTGAAATCTACTCTGACCAATCACAATATGCACGTAGATTTTAAACCAATCAGAAACAAGACATACAAGACATAAGCAATAGCTAATTTACGACATTTTACTCGTTAGTTGTGTTCATTAAAACATCTTTGATGTCATCTGTTGTGATTTCTTTCTGTACGAGGTACATGCGTTTTAACGAGTCCTCGTGTCGTGTCGGCATTAACAAGGGGCACACAACGACAATTTTTGGAAAATATCTGTTCGGAAAACGATTTGAGATCTAGAATTTGTTGTAAAATTTCTTGCTTGCCTGCCTCTCCTAGGATTTTCGAACATCTAAAAAATGGTATAATTGCCCATTTTTAACGGAAAAAAGGTCACCTGGAATTTTCGGAACAGATTTAAGGCTGGACAAAAGGGAATTTTGATCCCTAAATTTTCCGATCACTAGACTTTCAGCTAGGAAATCTGCCAGACAAAAAAACACAGTACTTCAAACCACAAATTAAAATACGTTCAACAAAAACTATTTTAAGCGGTTTTGAACTATGCTCTTAAATGCCGCCTTAACCCGTTTTTTAAACTCTAAAATAAATGCTCCATAAATGAAGGTCTTAAATATTTAGTTTACTGTATTTTTTTTACAAAGTCGAACAACCAAACTGCAACTTACTTTACAATTCGAACTGGACATCACGGAAATGACACTAAACCCTTAAATTAAGAAAAACTATTTAGTAAAGCAAGGCTCTTAACTTCAATTTTAAAGAACATTACAGAATTATCCGCAGGTCTTAAATATTTAAGTGCCTGTTTTTTACAAGGTCGGGACCCCACTGCAACTTATTTTACAAATTTGTACAGGACATCACGGAAATGACACTAAACCCTTAAATTAAGAAACCTCCTCGTAACACAAGGCGTGACTTCAATAAAAAGAACATGCTAGAATTATCCGCAGCCAGGGGTCAATTAAATAAGACTTTTACAAGAGTAATCTACAACTGTATGTATTGTTTTAGAGTAAGAAAACAATAGGGACACTTGTAAAAGTTTTATTAAATTGGCCCCAGGTGGCCATTTCTCTATAGTGCAATCTAGACGTTGTTAAATCCCATGTCATCATTTAGATTTAGAGTTGCAGCATGTTATTCCTCTACTTTTAAAGACCCCGTTGACAGGGGTCCCAACAAATTTTCGAACGGACGAATTTTTTTACCAGTGCAACCCGTCAACACAACCGTGCCAATTCTGTTTACGCGAGTGCGTACAGATTTTTGCCAGTATCAGCAATGAATTTTTTTTTTTGTCAAAGCCTCCAGGCTTTTACCGCGCAAACTGTGCAATGCACTCTTCAGGTGGTTACTGGAGTCCGCGTACAAGTGGAACCGTACCGGTAAAAATTTTGACCTGATGAGGCCAAAAAAAACTTGCACACTTTACCGTTCAAAAAGTTGCAAAGTTGCGCGCGTCCTGTGAAAACGAAAGGCGGATCGGTGCAAGTTTTTGTCCGTTCAAAAATGTGTCCGGACCTGTTAAGCGGGGTAGTTTCACTTTGAATGGTACATTACAGATGATGCCTTTCTTGACATTGTGAACTAGAGCGCGGTCTCGTTTTGCCGTGCTGAAGTTGTCTTTCGTTCTTCTTCCAATAATGCTATTCTTTCCTTCATGGTTCGCACCTAAGACACAAACGAAAAGAACACATTGTCTAAGAATTCTGCCAAGACAGTAGAAAAATAAAGCTCTAACAGCTTCTTTAAATCTGAGCTTAAAAAGAAAAGTTAAGCAATGACAATATAGATGCCTTTTTGATAAAAGAACCGGTCAGTCTCAAGGAATTAAGGGTAGAAGATGAAGCAAAATCGAAAAGGCACAAAGCAACATCGATCAGTGTAGAAATGCACATTTTCGTCCCGCCCAAACCCTGATGGGCCACCCTAAGCTTGGTGTTGCGTTTTGAAGAAAAAAAAAGACAAGTCCCCCCGCTCTGGCACTGTAGGGTATAATTTTCCTTAGCGGGTTATTCATGCCCCTCATATGGGCATAAATAGCATGTCTAAGATCGGAGAGTGAGCATTATACTTCCTTGAAATATTGTGGTCCTTTTACCCCACATACAGCCTGCATAGCAAGAGTTTACGTGCGGTTTCGGAGCAAAGAACGAGGACCGCGCGAAAAATGGCGCGAATAAAAGACCGGGGAGGGGGTGGGGAAGAAAAGAAGGAAGCAAGTTTCCTTCCATCCCCTCCCCTACCCCCTCATTCATTTTTTGGCTCTCGTTCCATTTTTCGCGCGGCAAAAACCGAAAATCCTGTTACTGGGCCTCGAAGGTCAATATTTTGGGGAGTCAACCGATCAAAGACCGAACTAGACTCCACCCAGTCCTATTAACAAACACCACTATTACATAATAAGATTAAGAAAATTAAACCCTATTCTTAGGCAAGAAAAACTCAAGGAAAACATGGAGCTTTCGGCTTAAAGCGCAGCTTTAATCACTGGGCAGATTTTCCAAAGATAAAGTGACGAAGTGTAAAATGTAAATGTAAATATCTTATTATCCACTCCCTTCAGGGCTTTTCAGGGATAATTTGCAACACTGGTTGGGGGACTTTGCCATACTGCTTAAGGTACAGTTAACAAGTAATGAAGGAATGAGTAATGATGCCCCCATACATGAGTGAAGGTAGTGAGGTAGACCACTACAACGGGCACTACGTGCCCTACTCTTTACGAAAGGTGTGGGTTCTTTAACGTCCCACAGATTTATTACATGTGTAAGGGCTTGTGAGACGGAGCATACGGTTTATCGTCCTTATCCGAGAAGAGTAGAAAGTCTAATCGTTTGCAGATGTTATTACAAAGGCAGCACTTTCTCCTCAGTTATTTAAAGACCCTGAGTGTTGGTCCGGCCAGGGGTTGAACCTACGGCCTCCCACTCAGCAGACCGGCGCTAATCCCACTAAGCTAGCCGGGCTGCGGTTAGACGACAGACGACAGCCGGCGCAGTTCTTTACATCGACTTGACCGATGGCAGAACAGCAAATTTAAGGGTTCGTACCCTTTTTTGAACAAAAAATTCAAGGACTTTCAAGGAAACATTTCCCATTTTCCAAGGACTCCATTCAGTGAAAAAAAAAAAGAGCCTTGAGTCTATGTCTATGTCTAAGTTCTTCCACAACAAGAGCAATTTTATCCTGAAGGTCTTTCTGTGTTTGCTCCTTATAGGCACTTAAGAATCTGGATTGGATACAGTTAGCACTGAAATTCAAGGACTTTCCAGCACGGACTGCAATTTCAAGGACTTTCAAGGTGCGTGCGAACCCTGAAATTTAAGCACAGGACGTCCGTACACTTTCGTGTTCTCAGTTGACGTCGTGTTTTCTTAACTAAATCTGCCTTCCATGAAGCCAAACCGACAGGCCAGGACGCTCCAACACGTGAAATTTTCAGATGGAAGACAAGTGGAACCTATCATTGTCCCGTCTAGGGTACTTTCACCCCACCCCTAAACTAGTCACCCTTGCCTGGCAATACCTTGCAACTGCGCAAACTATGGTAGAATAGTCTAATTAGTTCCAACGAGACACTTTCGACTTCTCAGAATTACACAGTGAACGGGTTAGAGCTGGAGTTAAAGCTGAAAGCTCCAATTGTCATGTCATTTTGAACAACTTTTTCCGCACTTTTATTTTACACCAATCGTATTAACGAGAGGTACTCACCTGGGCGTCGTGTCTTTCCACCATGGTTATCATCTGCTGTTCCAATTTCCGTAACCGTGCTCCGTGCTTTTTCTTCGCTTTTTCATAAGCTGCCACAAGAGCACCGTTCGCCTTCTTCAAGTCCGCCACGTATTCAGCAGTTTGTTGATGTCTTGTTTCCGAGTTTTTCGACAAACTTTCCAGCGTTTCTACCAACTCCTGAATTTTGGCTTTGAGCTTCTTTTCTCTCCTAGCAGCTTCATATAAGTCAGGCGGGATGTCATCATCGGATGTTTTTAACTCAGCTAGAGTAATAGACGGAGTTCCAGAGGCACTGCCTCCTGATTTCTCGTCCGACTAAAACAAAGCAAAAGTTGGGATGTAACTTTTATTAAAGTCATACTTCCACAGCAATAAAAACCCTCCCTACCTCTCCGTTTTTTGAAACACTGCGGAAAACGCAAAAAAATAAAGTAAAATAAACTTTGGATATCAACCATAAGTAACTTAACGAACGCGCTGTACTCCAGTATAAGAGAAGGGGGTATATCCCGGCCGAGGGAAATAGGGAATGGGATACCATCGTAGGGTGGGTCAGCGTTAAAATTTCCGCGGAGTTATTTCTAGGACTATTCCCTGTTTTTTCCCGTAAAATCGTCGACATCTAGCGCTTACTGTAACGCACGGCCATCTTGGTGAGTGCAACCTTGGAAAGAGTATCAAATGTACTTAAGAAGCAGATATTTTCTCTCCTTCTTCCCGCGACCGCTACAACCCCACGCCCGCCCCATCACAGTACATTTAGAACCATGTTGGCCAGATAAGAAGTGAAAGCTACCAATAATGATTTGTTTTGAGTCTGAATAATAAAGATGTAGAATAACTTGGAGTTACCCCGCGAGAGTCCCTTCTCAACACACCGCGGTCGAAGAATGACCTTTGTCGTCAATAAAGACACCTATTCAGCGGTTATTGTTACCGAGCAAAATACAGTGATTTGCCAATCCAAGCAGGACCATTATTTGCCGATCTCAAGACTCTGACAGATGGCCATACTTTGAAAATCGAGTTCAATAATTATTGTACTATTCCACAAGTTTGCTTACTGTGTTGTAATTTTTTTATGTGGGGAAATGTGAGACCTACTGTGAAATTGCACACGAGCAGAGCAGTAGGCCACAGCAAGACACCAAAAACCGGAACTTAAAGCAGAACCTCGCATCTACTGCGCATGAGCCGTATATGGATATCTGCGGTGAACTAATGATCTCTACCCCAAAAAAACTTCGGGGAAAATAACTTGAAACGACCTATCTCATACAAATATTTACCTTGCTACTCGCGACGCCAGCGTCCTTCTGCAATCTCCTTCTTCTTCGTATTTCATCCTGCATCTCTGACTTCAAATGTTCAATATGAACCAAATAAGCATGTTCCTGCGCATCCCGCGACGTAATCTTCAGCTCTAGAGCTTTCTTCTCTTTTTCAATTAAATAATTCTTAGCTTTTAATTCGGCTTTTTCCTCCTTCAAGGCCATTAATTCCTGCATGAGTACAGCGTTCTCTAAGTCTATTTTAGGATCCAGGGGTTCCAACTTCAAATCCCTTGGTTGCGCCACTTCATGCACGCTTTCCAACTCGATAGCCGTAAGACCGACGGTTGACCTTTCCGATTTCAACTGTTGAATGTAACTTTTTAATCTCGCAGCCTCTTCAGGGGAGAACTCCATGTCATTTGACGAACCCGTTGAACTAGTTCTACTGTTAGATGATACTGACTCCCATGGCTGTCCACAATTACTTTGTGTCTCAAAATTTCGATCAAATTTTTGAAGCAAAAACCGCGCTTCGTTTTCCGCCATTCGCCTCCGATTCACGCACGATTCCACATCTTCGGGTTTCCGATCATTCTCGACTTCGTTTTCGCCCTCTTCGGTATATATTAGTCTATAAGGTGACTCCGAGGATGGATTCGCATAGCCATGGAGGCTAGTTTTAACACCAGCGGCCCGACAGTTGGCGAGAAGTCTCGCTTGTTCTGACTCTGATAACTCTAACAACACCTCGTATGTTTCCATAACTCGGTCCGAAAAACTCAAAGCCAGTTGAAGAGCGGTGCAGTTCGATTCATATTTGCCCATTAAAACACTCATTCTATCGGCATTGCTTCTACTTTCCTCTAACGACAAAGATATAACATTGTTTTGAGCTTGTATGTGATCAAAGCGACTCGTTAACATCTCAATTTCTAGTTCATATTCCTTGAGTTTCTTGTCTGCTTGTGTATCACAGTAAGTGAACATCGCTTTGTAAACTTCTTGAGTAGTCTTACTATTCTCCAATGCTTTTACTAAGTCAGGAGGCATTTTGTTTGATGCAAACTCTGGTAACTGGCTCTAAAAAATATGAAAAAGAGAGGAATACGAAACAAAATATTAATTTCCCAAATCTAAGACTACGAGTAGACGCTTATCCCTCCTCACAATTAGCCGAGAGAATATATTAAAGCAAGCGGGAGAGAACTTGCCTCACAACGGCTAGGATAGGCGATGCGCAGTCAGAAGAAATTATGCTACGAAGTTTGCATTAGTCTAGGGTCTTCATTTTTTCCTTAAAAGCACACAAATAGTTCTAAACTAATCCAGTTTCCGACTTATGGTATTTTCTTTCAATACGTCTCTCAGCACTTGTTTTGTCTGAAATCAAAGTGACCGGGACTCGCGATCGTAACTCAACCTGTCCCAGGCCATTATGGGCAGCCCTCTCGAAGACCTTAATACTTGAGACCCTACAAACGGGCACCATTTTGCACTTGAAAAAAAAAACGGATTACTTACCAGAGCCCTAATACAGTTCATCCCTGTAATTCCTCTACCTTGCGTTCCATCGTCAATCATTTTTGCCACAACAGTTATTTCTTGAGTTGAACCGTGCACAGATGAGCCTAAATCACTAGTCGCACCAGGCCTCCAGAACGCCTGACTTGAGATGGACTGGACACTACCTGATGCGTGTCGTGACGGGAATGCTGGACTGCCGTCTGAAGCTGTCCAGACACTTCCACTGCCACTGGGTCTCCGAACATGTCCGTTTGGCATAGACTGCGAATTTCGACCTTGGCTGGACATACTTAAATTATCAATACTGGAACGGCGTGCAATACGGGGTGATGTCAGATAGCTGTTATCTTTAGGAGAGCCGTCTGAGACACCACTCATACTAGCTTGTCTGCTGAGCACGCGCACTGCGGAATGACTGTTACTTGATGGTTGTGTGTTTCTGCGAGGTGTGCTAGGAGACCTGGGAGTTGCAGGTGCCTGCATGCTGTTCGCCCGTGTCCTGGCTTGTTGTTGCTCATACTGGAGTGACTTTTGATGAAGCAGTTTCAGTTGATCCTGCATTTCAAAAACCTGGCAGGAAAGAGAGAAATCATTCGTTGAGTCAATAACAGTCGGTCACAAGAGAATGTCCGGCTAAAATTGGCCCATTCGCCACTATAGAAATAAAAAGAAACTGGAACCTAAATGTGTCCCGTAATTGTTTCTAGGATTGTCACTGAGGATGCGCCGATCAGCTATTGGCCAAATTTTTTTCTGCCTGTACCTAGCAACGTCCCAGAAGTCTTTGCGAAAGTTAACTCGGCCCGGTTCTTTCCCGTTTCTAAAGAGGAGAATGTCCAAAGAAATCTTTACTTAGACCGAACATGATGTTCACATTAATAGTAGCCTCCACACAGACGTTATCTTCTTTTTCTTTTCGAAAATCGACGAGCTCGCGAGCGTGGAGGGCGAGAACGAGTGAAGACGATAATTTTGCAGATGGTTTAAGTCTACACTGAGCATACAAATAAAACTAACGAGGTTATAACATTGTTCAGGCAGTGAATATATGGTAACAATCAGTCTACCTGCGAATTCTGCGTCTAACATGTACAGTGTTTTAGCATAAGACACAAGGCGTATTTGTTTGTGTTTGACGTTTTTTGTTTAATCCGACATAAAAGGTGACTTGGCCGGATACGGACAAAGTCCTTTCAAAGAAGAAAATTATTTGCAGCTTAGGTCTTACTCTAGATTAGAAATGGGAAGCTGATTTCAAGCAGATAAGATTCTCATAACCTGCGAGCAGGCTCAGCTGTGGAAGTTAGGCGAAGCCAGTTAGAAAATTGGGCGAGGAAAATTGATGTCATTTTTCCTCAACTCATTCTTCTGGTCAGCCTTCGCAAAAATTTTCCCCCACCTCGCACAAGTGAGCCTGGAATTTTGCATCAAGGAGAATTTAGATTCTTACTCGCTTTCAGCACACATTTTTATCAAACCGACATAATTGAGAAATGGAACGATAAGGATTTAACAACAAAAAAAAAGAATGGAACCTACCCTACGCCTGAGCCGGTCTCTCTCTTCTCTAAACCCCTGATTTTCAGTTTTAACTTGCTCTAAATCCCCTTCAGTTTTTCGGAGTTTTGCCTTTAGATTATCCCTCTCACTTGTAACTGCTTGGAGCTCCTACAAAATTACAATAGAAACAACATTTGTTATGGATATGCTCACAAGCAAAAAAATGCCCCGATTGGTCTTGACTTCGGTTTGAAAGACTTCAAAAAAACAAAGAAAGAAACTGGGGCTTTTGTGATGTGACCACGGTGAGCAAAATACCCGTTAAGGGTAAACTCATGCATTCACTCCAAAAATCAGTTGGTCTGGCATAATTTCAGTTACACCTACAAGGTCTGAAACTAAAAAAAAAAACAGAAAAGAAACCGATAATACACAAGACACTGAATACTCCTCAAAATTTCAACAGTGCAACAAATAACAAACAATTTTCTGGAGTGATCACTGCACTTTCTTGCCTTCACACTCTAAGCATTAGAGGTTGCATTTATGACTAGAGTGGAACCTAGATGTAACGAACCAGTAAGTAACGAAGTCATCGGTTTTATTGTTACCCCAGTAACAGCAAAACATATGAAAAAGAACCTCGTTATAGGGAACAAATTTCCCCACTCCCTTGGCCCTTCGTTATATCGAGGTTCCACTGTATGCCAAAGTGCAAGATTTATTTCGGGTACAAAAAACAAAAAACAAACCAGTGTTTGATTATCTCCTGAAAATTTGCACGATTTCTGAACCAAGCTTGATCAATGGGGTAGAGAAGGAATTACAAGAGTAAACAAATGTGTCAATAAGGCTTACGTCTGGTGTCCCTGCGCTACCGGAAGACTTCTTTCTTGTCACCCACTCCTTCAAACTTGTCTGCTGAAGCTGGCGCTCCACTAAACCCAAAAAGGTTTTAGATCAATAAAAGAATGAAATAATGTCGTAACTAAAAACATTAAGTTCTTCCCCAGCTAAATGCTAAACCATGATTCAAAAGATAGGTTTTCAAAAAGAGCACAAAGTTCCCATTCAAGACAGAGATTTTAATAGTTCTGAAGACAATATGATAAGATTATTGACCAGTAAACAAAACAAAATAGACTGGTTTGTCAGCTAGGAACCCGCGATTTTATTCTCTTGTTTTTTTCGGACCCAAAAAGTTACCCATACTTTCAAGAAACGGGCCCCACGATGCTAGAAATTTTAAAAACACTAAAATAACTACTGAAACGTTTACAGCCGAACATCCCGTAAGCGACCAGTCTAAATGCCAAGATTTCTCAGACTATCTTGCAGTAACAGCGTTACAGGTGCAACATATTTCTAGGTTTGACTCAGAGAACCGAGAAAATTGTGAACACTTATTTCAGGGTATCACTATCGTGTCCTGACCAGTCACAAAAAAGTTCAGGACACGCAAGCAAGCCACAGAAACAAGGAGTTTCAATATAAATTGAAGTAGCTAGCAGGTTTGAATAGAGTAACCGAGTGTATCAACAAGGTGACGTTAGTAATCTTTTTCTAGGGGGGGGGGGGGTGTTTCCCCAGAAAACTGAGAAATTTCAAAGCCCTAAAATGCGATTTTCAGCGTTCTGGGGACTAAATTGAGGACAAAATAGCGTGTTTTTCATTCGAGAAAATGTAGCTTTCATACAACCTTCGATTTATCAGTCACACAATCAATTCCTACAAGCAATGAAGAAATGATGAAAACTAAATTAAGTACTTTGCACGTAAACAAATTCTGTGTAAACCTGTGAAAAACTGACTGAAATATAGCGTTCACATAACATAAAACCAGTGGGTCATTATGAAATCACATCATAATTACGTTTTCATTCAGATTTTATGATATATGTTTTATTTACAACGTTATTTTTATTCTAAAAACAGCAGCCGACCTCTATGAGCGAAGTAGCCTACGCGTTTCGTCGGCCGTTGGTGCATATTGAAACCCCTGCGTTGCTGCGTACGGTTTAGTTTTCTTACACATGATTGGCTTTTCCTTGCAATACCATAACATTCCACAAATAATATTTCTGGAACCTCACGGTTTTCTGAGTTTCACAGAAAAAAAAATAAAAAAAATTATAAAACGACCCACTCAAGATGTGGTTGTTTACGAGAGGTTCCAAATATCTCTTTTTACTAAAAATGTTTTTGAATAAAAGGTATGTGGTCACTAGTGGAAAGTGGTCGCCTGTAATGGGTGTTCACAAAAAAAAGATCAACAATATAATATAATAGTATTCACTTACAGATCTGTCGTTTCTTTTCCAGGTCTAGACACTGAACTCTAAGCTCTCTGCACTTGGCCTGAAGATCTTCATGCTCCTTGGCTGTTTTGCCTGAGACATCTGTTTTTACAAGCTGCAAAAAAGAAACAGAAAATTGCACAATCTACCTGGGTGGCGTTCTTGATCATGGAATATTCCACTTTTGCACTTCTGAACAAAAGACTTAACACAGTATACAATGTAAATTTACTACAGTATTTACTCGAATAAGGGCCGCCTCGATTAGGTGACGTTTTTGGGACAAAAAAGTGAACAAGCGCAGTAGCCCCGATATAATCAAAATCAAACACATTAATTCTGTTAGTTTAATACGGAAAATTATAATACCGTAGTAAAAAAAACATTCTTTGTTGTGTACAACATTCAAATAAATGCCACCCTCAAATAAGCACCGCATCTCAGGCGGGCAAAATTAAAAAGTTGAAGAGACCGAACTGAACTCACAGACTGTAAACTATGCAATGGCGGCTTGTTATCTTCATCTACTGGTTTCTTGTCCTCAGTTTTGCTTTCAGTGACCTCTTTCTTTTGCACTTGCTTGGAGTCAGTTGTATCCTGCCTGTCTATAGCAAATTCCAGCCCACCGACTACTTTGGACAGCTCATCATCTGTGTTATCATCATTTGCACCCTCATCAGAGGCAAGGCTGTCTGATTCACTTTGTGATCCTGTCAGACATGAATCACAATAATCAATGTATACAAATTGTCGTTAATTTTTTCTTTCAGTTAATTTTTACTTTTCCATTGTTTTTGGTTATGGTAATGAATGCTAATGAATTTAACACAAAGGAAAAACAAAAATTAACCGAAATAAAAAAATTAACGGCAACATATACTAGCTCTCCACAGTGGCTGATCTAGGTCTGCTACACAGCCGTTTTTAGTGTCGTCACGCAATGCTCCTCCCTACGACCTAAAAACGGCTGTGTAGCAGACTATGGCTGATCCCAATATCCATTGAATATATCAAAAAAAGCTCACTTACAGCTGTAAGCCTCTGAGAGGAGACAGCCTACTCATTTTGATTTCAAACCTCATAAATTGGCTGGGGTGTATGAAGGGTATTTTAAATAAAACAATTTTTTAAAAAAACTAAGGGCGAGTTCAGTTTACTGTATTCCAGAGTAAGAGTAAACAGACTAAACTCTGGAAATCCCTTGTTTTGGAATTTCTTGCATGGCAATAGCTAGAAATCTGTTTAAAAGCGTTTAAGTAATCCAAACATCGTGGTGCAAGAGTGAAGAGGTTTCTAAAAAAACTTAAGCGTATTCTTTTTCCAAATACAATCAATCAAATGCACCCTTAAACACTACCTTACTAAAATGTGACACCTTGATGTCACAAGATTATTTTACACAGTATGAGTGTTATGTGTTGAAAAATTTCTATCCAGTTTGAAAATTTTAAACCAGTTTGATTCAAACCAAAGATTAAATTTGAACCACAACAGATATTACAGTGACGAAAAAATTTCAAAAGTAATAAATCAATTTCCGCTTTTAAAGTAGAGAAAGTTTCTCCTTGCAAATAAATTCAGGGCTTACTCAAAGTCCTCCTTTTCTGTTTATGACCAGGCCAACCCATACATGTCCCCCTGTCCCCCAAAGAATTTCTTAGTCTTTTAAGATTTGTTTTAAGGGAGTCTTGTTTGTGTGATGAAAGGCCACTATTGTTCTATTGTTTATTCTTTAAGACCTACTCAATTATTAATCAGATATAAGTTAAAATAAATAACAACAACTTTCAAGGCAATAGACCATAAATAATTATATTAAAATTCACACTTGGCTTCAGGGCTTAGGGTTATAAAACATCAAACAAAAAATCCCTTGAAGTTTGGTTTAGGGATGATTCACTAACAATTGTGACAACCTCATTAAGCCATTAAGAACTCAACACCCGATACTTTTTGCTGCATGGCTGGTGGGCTGCAGCTCTTGGCCCTTTGTTGAATTTACTTTCAGGATACGCTGTTTGGGAGTACCGGTAATTAATTGGGTTTACATAGCTGGGTCTCTGTCAGCAAAGGCTCAATGATTAATTAAAAGCTTCAGTACAGGTTTCAAGATGAGAATTTTAAGCTTGTAATTTAAATATTAATGCACTTAATGATATAAACCTAACCATGTGCAATTATTTAGGCTTACCATGCTCTGACGTCTGTGATTCTATCTCATGCTCTTCAGACTCATCAAACTTGTCCACAGAAGCCTGAGACAATTTCTTGTTAAGTTCAGCGATAACACTTTGCAGTTCTGTGATGTGTTGTTCACTCTGTTGGGCCTGGGAGTTAAGTCTGTCTTCGTAATCATGTATTAGCTCTTTACGGTCTTGAGCAGCCTGATCAAGTGCTGTCTGCAACTGATTTCGCTCCTCTGTCAATTGCTGAACTTTTCCTGAGAGTTCCACAATTTCATTTTTCAGGGAAGCCAGTGCTGCTAGGTGAAGCTAAGAGAAAAAAACAGTTCCTCTTAGAAACAAAAATAATCGTTTCAAGATTTTACTTTCAAGTGTTGTTAGAGGTGACCTTCTTGGTGTTATATCAAGTTTCATGCTTGAGTATGTGCTTTTTACAAACACAATTTCAATGTATGCAAAATATTTGAAATTACAGTGAAGAAAGAATCCCACAACAAATAAAACAGAAAGGCAGGACAGTTTAGTATCTGACCACATTTTTGCAAGGAATGCAGAATGTTAATGAGGCTTTGAGCATAAAGAATAACTATACTACCTTGCACCAAACACAGAAACCTTAAGAACATGGTGAGGGAATATTTATGCTTAAAAGGGGTTCAGTAACAGTATAAATAATACAAAAAACAAGATGAATTTCACAAAACATAAATTTAACCGACACAAAGCACTACACTAGGGACAAGGAACAATTATATCTCTCCCTCAGAAACTCTCAAAAACAGGAAACCACAATATTCTGAACAAACCTTACTTCACAATGCCATAATAATTAAAAAGACTAATTAAATTCAACTGTTTTAGAGAGATAATTAAGAGCAAACTATATAATTAAGACTTATAAAGAAATGCTTTTAAATGAAACAACAGTTTAAGTCTCAAATTTGTATTAAGAGCGCTATAGAGTAATTATGGGCAACATTTGAATCTTACACTTAGTTAGTTGAAAAAACATACCCCCAGGGATTAGTGCTGTTAAATAGTTTTTGTTCAGATGAATATGAATAGAAACCCTCTCATTCCTTAAATTACTAAAACATTTTCATAGCACAAAACACGGCAGATTCATCTCTCAGACAGATTCAAACGTTTGCCCAGAATGCTGGTGTTTATACTTAACTTAGGAAGGCAAAGGTTAAGTACAAAAGGAGACTTGTATGACCATAAGTGTGCAACCCCGCAGGAGACCAAGGCATAATACCTAATAATAGAGTTTAAAAATATGTAGGCATACAAGATTTCACAGGTTATTTTACACTGTAAATGGAAGCAATTTGTTTTAAAAAATTGAATTAGCACAAGGATTTTTTTTTGCATATGAAACTATTGCGATCTATTGTAATTAAAAACTGAAACAACCTGACTTCCACCAAGATAAAACAAAAAACACAACCCCATGCAAGAACCTACATGTACAGTTTTGAAAGTCAGCCTGAGTGGTTTTAATATCCATGTAGGATAAAGGGTGTTTGTAGTAGGACAAGCTTCTTGAAATTTTAGGCGGTTAAAATTTTTATTCAAAGTTTGGTAAGCAAATGAGAGCTGGATTTTTGGATAATAGATAATAAGGCAAATCAATAGATCAGATAAGTACCCTGGCAGTATTTTAGTTGTAGAGCAACAGTACACTAAAATCATACATGTACATTTGTATAATGCCTGCTTTTTAATAACTTAATTAGGCCGATCTTACAAGTAAGCACCTTCTTCCAATTTCTGGCATGGTATTATGTGATGATTAAGAACTATAATGAGATCAAGATTCTATGATTAATGCAATTAGTAGGTGATAAATAAATATTTTGAGGAATGCAAGTGCCAGAGGAAAATGATAAAGAAGAAGGATCAAACTATTAAAATTTCTTTGTCTCAATTATTCCATGAGTACGTGTGAGAATGAAAAAAGTTAATAATAATCTCCTATCAAATGCTTACAGCAAAAAGTAAAAACGAAATTGCCTGGGAAACAGAATTATTTTAAACCATTCCCGAATGATAAGCTTTAATAACACTGTAACTATAACTGAAGGGCAAGATATGGTGCCCCTTGAAACCATACAATATAGCCAATTAAGCAAGTGACCAAAAAGAGAAAGTGTAACTACAGTCTTGGACAAAATAAAGCGCAAGCCCGCTCTGCGGATACCTGCTTAACATAGACACCCATATACAAAGGACAGTTTTGTTTGTCCGACAAAAAGTTCCTATATTTTCTCTAAAATTAACCTGCTTAATATGGACACCAGTTAACATGAACAACAGACACTTGTGTCTCACATCACAAACTATCACATATTAATATTATCGTCAACTTTGCTTTATGGACACAGGTCTTCTGCACACTGTCTATGACTGACATGACCGAATATCTTACCAGTCAATACCAAGCAGAAACAGAAAATACGACCTTTCAAAGGAACTGTCAGACCTTGGCTTAGGCACAAACTAAAAGCATGAGCAAAAAGATAGATCATGATTCCATTCTCATGTTTCAATAACAATACCTATAAAGGTAATTTTAGTTTAAGACTAGGGGAAGGGGGCTTGCTTTTCAATTTTATTCTAAACAAGATTGTAGGTTTGCCAATCATAATGGCAATGTGACGGATGGAAAAATTTCACATGACTTCCTATACCCCATAACTCGTGATCCAAATGAAATTTAGCATGCAGAAAACAATTAAGTCTTTCAATCCTAAACTTGTTTAAGAAAAGCTTTAAATAACACCCCAGTTTAATTTTAATCACCCTCTTGTTTCCAGTTTTAAAATAATTAGTTAACTCTCACCAAACTCGTAGTAGCATTTCTGAAAGAAATTTCCAACTTGGGTGAACAAAACATTTTTTCAAAAAAAAAAAAAGAGGTCAGACTTTCAGAAGAAAGGCTATTCTTTAACAGTATGCACTCTGACTTTACTTAAAAAAACAAATTAAGCTTTTTTAAAAGCCCCTCCTTGAAGCAAAGCTTAGCCACCTACAAGGAGGGGCTTAAAATTAGTGATAACCCATATGCAATTATATAATTGTAAATAGAAAGTACATGTAAAACTTGAAAAATTGTAAATAGAAAACTTTAGATAGAAACCTGTAAATATACAGTAAAATGTAAATAATTTTGCGCAAACTCAGCAGGGTAAATATTTTTGGTCTCTTCTCGCTACTGCTATTTATTCAATTTGAGTTACATTATGCACTGCCACATCAGCTATGCTGTAAAACTATCGCGTTAAAATAAAAGATGTTGTTGTTGTTGTTTTCCAGTAGAAGGCTTATGAACATTTAAAAATAACTCAGTCATCCATCTGAGTACCAGGTTTCTGTCACTATCACCCTCTTATACAAGCTCAATTTACACAAAATATCTGAAAAAAGTTACGGACCTACTCACCCTGCCTAATGAGGGGCCCACCTTGGAACAGTGTAATTCAAGTTTGACTGTATAAGAATCTGACAATTTATGTATTTCAACTAACAGGACATTTGAGAATTAGCTACAGATAACTGATAGAAGTACAAACGAGCAAGTAAAATTTTAATGTAAAAGATGAAAAAAAAGGCTAAAAAAATACATGTATGTCTGTTCAGACAACAAATTGTAACAGGTTAGGATTGATTGCCTACTATACACAATTTAAAACCATTTACTTTCAACTATTATTCATCATACCTATTGCTAGAAACTGATAAAATCATAAGACACTTGTCTTCATTTATTGTGCTAAATAGCACTGTAAATGTAAACAACTTTATATGCACATGTAAAATACACCAGAAAGCTTTAATATTCAAGTAAACCAAAAACACCACCATTAGAGGATTTTGGAAGACCTTAAGAATTCTGTAATCACATAAAACGCAAAAACAATGGTTTAGCCGCAAAATCAGAGGGAAAATTATGACCACATGAATATTTTGTTTTACTTAAGTAACTGTTAGCTTGTTTGCACATAACATTTTACTTAACTTGAAGGAACTCAATCTTGTTACACTGATAAATTCGTACAAAAAAGTGAGCTTTAACCCACAAGAATTCTTATGTAACTTCCTATCACTCGACATTTCAATGATCAACTAACATTGCACATGCTCTAGCTAACACTGCAATCTTTGCCAACTGTGACAATGTTAAATTTCAGTCAAACACTAAGATGATAAATAATAGATTACTGCAAACATAGCAGACAGAATCAAATTAGAATACACATTGGGTTTACAACCTTCAGATAGCTACATTCATGATTCTTCTTCTTCACAACCCAACCAAAAAGGTAACTAAAATTAATTAAGGATAGATATCTGAATGTGTACCTTGATCTTATGCATTTTTCACCCACGGAAATTTTGACAACAGAACCTGTCAAGTGTCATACGCGAGTTTTCCATGAGTTAAAGTGCATAACAGGACTGAAGATTCAGATGCCAGAATGACTCATAAGCTGCACTTAAACACTTGAAAATTACCACCAGCTTAAAATGGCTGAAATCAAATATCATTGTATAAAAACAAAAAACCCTTGACAGCCAATAGATTTTGTAAAGTTTCCTCTAAATTGATCCACACACACCCACTTAGCATTTGGTAAAGCAAAAAACTATTTATATTGGAAGCAAATTTGCATGAGTTAATACCAAGAACAAAAGATGTTTCAATGCCAAATGAAATAAAGGATTGCAAAATAAAAATAACACCATTCAGCTGTCAGACTTCATTAAAAAATTCAATTTACCATTGACCAACTGACCATGGAAATTAATAAATAATGTTATTTTCAATTAGCAACATTCTTTTTCACACATGCAGTTATGTACTTAAAAGAAGCCTGAAGAATTAAAATAAAACAAAAAACAGTTCCCTAATTTTAGTTGCGTACAACTAAAGCCAGCAAAAATATTTCACAAAATGTTATGATTTATTTTTTTTAATCAAAATAAAGAGACTGATTGAGAAGTCATAACGGTGGTCTCATGCAATCTGAATGAAATTTATCAATGTAGCTTTCAATAAAAAATAAAGCTGTTATACATAAGATTTTCTGAATTCCTTTCTTTATTTAAATGTCACAAATAATTAACCATACACTTCATGTATTTAAATGATAAGAGGTATTAGTGTTGGAAATAATTATGCCCAAAGTAAATGTATGTGAATTGAATCTACTGTTTTTAAGACGTTAAATCAAAGTTTTACCAATTCACAAAGAGGAGGCTTGTAATTTATAGGGCAATTATTATTTCCAAATAATTTTCAGTTATAGTACATAATAATAATCTTTATTGAGATAGCTTTTTCATACAAGTATGGTTTTCAAAAAGGATCTCTCATAAGATTAAAAAAATACAAAGTACACACAATCAACTATAAAATTAAGCACTAAAATATAATTATATTCACAACCCTCGACAGAGCCGTAACACTCTTCAAAGTCACAACACTCGTCAGAGCCACAACAATCATCAGGGTCACGACACATGTGCACAAGATATCAAGTACTATTACCAAATAACCCCTCCACTCCACACACCTAAAACCAATGTATTTAGTTTTTAATACATTACTATTTACAGTGTGTAAGTGAAATCTTAGTACTTTCAAAACAAATTAAAGGGTGTATTTTTAGAAAGATTCAATTAATCTGGATTTCCTAATCAAAAAAGAATAAGATTTTCATTTTAGCATGAAATCTGAATATGGACCATGCATCCGGAAAGATACATCCAGAGTGTGGATTCTTCATGTCAAATCGAAACATAGCTTTGCAAGATTCACCATTTGAGCATTTTTTCAAGGAAAGGATTTGAAAAAGTATTTTTGACAAGAGGTTACCCTTGTAAAAATCAGTGGTACACAACATTAATTTCTAGTGCATGACCTTCTAAAGGCCAGTCTACACATGACATTTGTGGTGCTTTTTTACTGTGATTTCTGATAACACCTTGTGCCGACGTTGTGGATATTTTATTGCAAATCCCATCTTTTTGCAGCCAATACTGTAAGGTGCATCTGATGTAGGTTTCCGGTGACTGACTGGCGACTGATGATGCACGGAAATTCAGGCAAGTTCAAATCAACAGTGATCTTGCAATAATCAATCGCCACAAAATCATTGGGTAGCAATATAGCTAACCTTGCCCTTACAATGCTGCAAAAATTGTGGAACAAATAGCCTGCACCATAAGACATGACATTGTCATGGTAAATGATCCTTTCTTTCTTTCTTTTTTTTTTTTTTTTTTTTTGGGGGGGGGGGGATGAAGAATCACTTGAAAAATCCATATGATCTGAAGCAACAAATCGCTTTTCACCAGATACGATATTTTGGTGCATGCAAACAAGTCTTAATAACAGCTGGAATTTTTTGAAAAATCAAGTACGTAAAATGTACATACATTTCTCCCTCCCATGTGTAACTAAAACTCAACAATGCATGCTAAGCCATTTATCATTGTAAATGCATCTTGCACCTATCAATGTTATTCCTAAGGGAGGGGGGACATGGGCCAAGGTAGGGAAAGGAAATTTTGGGCAGACTTCACGGTTTTAAGTTCTTACTTTAGGCTAAAATATTTTTGCATTTGACAAAGGAGAACCCTTACTAAAAAACAAGTCCAGCGGGCAACATTCTGGATGCCATGCAATCTCATGGTTTGGGTGCTATCTTGGACTGGCTGGCTGGCACATTTTTCCTCGATCTCAATATGTGTTCAGTTTTTCTTGCCCATGAACTGGTGTCTATATAATATTTTGTAACACTCGTTCACAGATGAAACATTGGTGAGTTTGTGTTTACTAATTACAGGTTTATTTTCTCGCAGTTTTCAATTAAGTTTATTTTTTAAAGGAAGAGCTTCATTCTAAGATAATCGAATATGTAGATATTATATCAACAATGCGTTTTGCACACTGTATTTGTTTTTATCAATTCTAGCAAGATCAGCTTATATCGACCATATATTAATTCTATTACAAATTCAATACATCTTGTCGCTTTTTACAGCTATTGTATTCACTTTTTTGTCGCCATTTTTGAAAAATATACCAGAAGTTGAACGGTGAAATGTTGACCAGTGTCATCTCACTAATTCTGGGAGAGTTGTTTTTGAAAACTAGTGGTGGGTAGGTGAGTTGTGTTAGCGCAGTATCATGCAACAAGGGTTTGAAAGTCATACACGACACTTTGACACCTTAATCAATGAACTTTTCAGATCACTTTAATCTTCTGTAGCCCAATTTTTAGCCAATTTATTGACATGCTAAAGTGCAAAAGAATATCTTGGGGATCATAGTCAGTGTTTGGCCTGCTGTCACTTACATGTACTTTAATAAGCCAATTAAATGTAAAAAATAATTTTTTTAGGAAAAATGAAATAGTACCGCATTGTAAAGTGGGAGGATAAGCAATGACACTGATAAAGACAGCTGCTGATATTCATATTAAGAAAAGTGTTTGATTTTGATTTCTCTTACAAGAACCCCCACTCACTAACCACCCACCCCTATCAAATGCACTCCCCTGATTTGCAATTATCACTAGTTTAACAACTGAGGTGGGTAGAAAAGTAAAATGTGGTCAAAAGCAAACACCTTCAAGCTCTAGTGGAACTTGACAAGCATTTGAGAGCTTCCCAAGTGTCTGCTTAATAGTTTGTAAAATTGTGCAATGTTTGTCAACGATTGGCATTCAACGGTTTCTCTGTACTGTGATAGAGTTCCATGTTCTTAAGCAAGCTACTGTATACAGAGGTTAGACTTTGATGGCGGATGACAATAATACGGCCGGATGTCAGTCTCATCTACAGTTATTGGCAGCTAAATGTATCGATTTTTCTTTATTAATCGACTACAGTACGTGTTTCAAGGATGTAATCCAGTACTACTGTTGTCAATTCAGTCCGGTGTCTGCTTAATAGAGGTTTTTAACAATAGAAATTAGCCAAATACAATTTATTTTAGTGTCCACCTCTGCTTAACAGAGGTGTCCGCTGAATAGGGGTTCGTTACAAAGGGAAATATAAGACGTTAATTTCAGTACTTGGCTTACTGTCCACTGAATAGGGGTTCATAATAAAGGGAAATATAAGATGTTAATTTCGGGACCCGGCTTAGTGTCCACTTAATAGAGGGTGTCCGCTGAATAGGGGTTCGTTATAAACGGAAATGTAAGATGTTAATTTCGGGACATGGCTTAGTGTCCGCTTGATAGCAGGTGTCTGCTTAATTGGGGTCTGCTTAATAGAGGTTTCACTGTACTTCAAAATGGCCAGGCCCTGGTATCCATGCTCACAGCACTTTTTGGAGATGGCTGTTGTTGCAAAAAATATTTCCTTGAAACCCAGAGTCACCGAAATTTCCATTCTCTGCGAATGAAGTGCAAAATCTATCGACACTCTTGAAGCAAACAGTTACCAGTTTAATGTGAACTTTCACTTTAAAAGCTCAAAGCTGGAATACACAAAAACTCCTTGTCTTGTTTTGGCGTAAAACTCTGGAATGAGATACCTTGTCATATTACCCTTATTCGCAATTTAACCTAGTTTTCTTAGTATATAAGTTTAATAGTTCTATAATTTTATGCAGTTTCTCATTTACTACATCATTTTAACCACTTTTATATATAGTTTCCAGGCTTGTTAATTCTATCTTTTTCTTTTCATTACTGAGCTGTTAGCTAGCTTTATAGCTAAGTGTTAGTCATGTTAATAAAGTATGTATGTACGTATGTATGTATGTATGTATGTATTAATAATCACAGGAGTTCAGGCTTCAGGAGTAATCATTGATCGTTTATTGCGACAGTGCTGTTTCGTATGGTCTGAAATTGTAGGACCTCACTCATCAGGCAACTTCAACGATTGACCGTTAAAATTAAAAGCTGGCAGTAAAATTTGCGTGGTTGTTAAAGGGATGCGTTCAGAGATTGTATCTAGGTAAAAGATGGATTGTGTCTTAGTTACGTTACTCTCGAAACAGCCCTGTCGCAATAAACAATCAATGATTACTTCTGAAGCCTGAACTCCTGTGATTATTAATAGTCAGTGCTCTTCAATTAAATGAATTGCAGGGCTCAAAATAACGGCCGGTCAACGGACCATGTCCGGCCTGATCGTGGGCTTGACCGGTCAAACTCTCGTCTGGCCGGTCATTTTTGGATGCTTGTCACTTAATGCGTTTTGCTCTATAATGCTGTAATTCGCTGCTTTCTTTGGCTTTTTTTGCTGCTTTGCGCTAAACCCTTTAAAGAAAAACGTTCTGCTTTGCTGTGATCAGTAATGCGACCTTCTTTGGGAAAATATTCGCTAACAATAATCTGTTATTTTTTAGAAAACTAAAGGATGAGTGACAGTTTTTGTCCATCAAACGTTTCACATCTACTTGTAACAGGATTGTGAAAATCACCTTCGATGGGATTCGGGCTAATCGATCGCTCGTCCTGTACTGTTTCTCTGGGAATAAATTTCAGCGCATCGATTAATTATAAAATTTCTTTACGTCGAACATAATCTCATTTGCAGACTCGATTCTAGAATTGTCTGATAAAAACTAAGCTAATCGAGAACGAACGTCGCCTATCTCTGCTATATCGGCGCTTAAAATCCTCCCTCTTGATAAGCCGTTCGCGATAAAGTGTTGCGTGACGACCCAAACGAAAGCTCTCCTGTATATTTATTGACTTCTGATGACGAATACCCTGTTTGCGGAACAAATTTCTTGCCAAATCAACTTCTTTGCCGCAAATATTTAGCGACGAAATTCTTCTTTGTGGAGGAGACTTTCGATCACGTGCCGAACAGCGAAAAGGATCAAGTTTCACCGATATGCAGATATAGGACAAACCTTGGAGACTTCCGACACCGCCGCACAATGATGCTGAGCCGGTGATCATGACCGGTGACCTGCTGTCCGTTATTTTGAGCCTTGAATTGAGCGCTCTACGAAATACGTACGTATGTATGTATTAGACATCTTCCTAAAAAAGAATTTTCGAAAGTACTTCATGGATTGCTTTCCGATATCTTAAAAAGAGAAAATGACTGTATTAAGACGCCACTGATACTTGAAAAAGTTGGATTAAAAGGTAAGTAATTTCCGAATAAAATTATATGCTTTCCGCTTTCCATCAATATTCCTTTTTCATTTTTCCTTAGATGTAATGGTAATTAAAATAAAACTATGACAGAAATAAGAATTACTGTAACTTAACAAATTTTCCTTACTTTCCTTTCATTATATTTTTTCTTTTAACTGGTCCGCCTAGATTAGCAATTGCTATTTTGCGGGCCAGTCTATTGTAATACTGTTTTTAATAAATAAAGTTGAAGCTGAAGTTCAAACATTTTCAAAACTTCCCACAGTGGTAAAACTCTTTGATGATAACTTGCTTTGTTTTCAAGTTCATTTGATTCGAACTTCACACCACCCTGGGGCCAATATAATTGTTCAAAGTTTACAGAAATATCGGAACTGAGGCTAGTAACAAAAATCAAAGTCCCCACCCTTAGCCCTCGGTCCCACTGCTCTCTAGGTATAAAACTGTAGATTCATAAGGTGCATATTGAACAGACAGGAACAGGAATTCCACGCTTTTCAACCTGCTGTATTGGACTTCATATTTTCCAAATGCCATTTGCATTAACATGTTAATAATTAACAAAGTTATATACAAATTATTTGTATATAACTTTGTTTCTTTTTTGCTATTTTCAAACAAAATTATACAGGTAAAACTGGATGTAGCAAAAACAAATTTGAACAGCTTCAAAACTGAAAAACAGCGTGTACAAAATAGAAATGCTTCATTTTTAGATCAGACTTTAAATTCCAACACAAGAGTTTAGTGGCCTCGACAAAAAAACGTCAGAAATATCATGATTTATGTTGACAGAGAATATTTAACATTCAGTGGCTTGGCAACGATAGAAATTGACCGAATTTCCACTAAAAACGCAAAATTTATCTCGATCCCTTAAAATAGAAAAATTCCAGAAACCAAGTGGTCGTTAAAGGCTTAACAGTTTCTTCTTCAAAAATATCAGTCTAACATTAATCAGTTTCATTAATTAGTCTAAATTTATTGTTTTTTGACACGAACTCCTGCGGGTAAAACATGTGCGATTAGCGTAAATTAAAGATTTTTTTATCTTGAATGACTTTAATTTCTGTTTAAGCATATTAAAAATATCAAGATGTTAAGAATTTTCGAACTTATTGACTTTTGATTGTACATGACGAAAACCTCATTTAAGTTCAAAAATTGGGTTATTGTCGACAAAATCCGGCGTTTTGTGGTCTACAAATGTTACACGCACATGCTATTTTTGTATGCAACTTATGACCCGTCAGATTAAAAACTCAAGCATTCATTTATACCTTTGTTGGAATGGAAACAAATGATCACGAGTCAATAAATTTATACTGTATAAGCAGTAGGAAGGAACCTCCGATTATTCTTATGTTCGCTACAATGGAAGTAGATCGACTTCTTTTGATACAATTTTCATTCTAATTTGGATTGTGTAATGAGCGCCAGCACCCACTTCATGGCCGTCTATTTTTACCGCACCAGTATGAAATACACTTATTCCGCTTTAGCAAACCACCAATTTTGTTGGTCAAATCCGAAGTAAAACCGCCAAAACAAAGACTTAAATGGGCATTCACAAATTAAAAACCATCATTACTAGTTGCAAGACGGCATAATTTCGGTTAAAGAAATGCTATTCTTTTTCGCAGTTTGCTAATTGTTTGTGTTTTCAAAGGAACAAGGTATCCCACAGCTGTTTAAATATTTCAGTCTCTATGAACCTACATTTTGAAATACAGTACCATAGAACGGATTAAGAAATATCCTGTAACCGCTGAAAGTAGATTTGTGAATGAGGATGGAAGAAGTGGATATCGATTTCATAGTGGAAATGAACGATGTGTGTTGCAAATGTAAAATGCTTCAGTAATCGAGCCGGTGCTTCGATACCGCGCGAGAAACCAAACAAACTAAAAACCATTTAGTATACAATCAGATAATTTTCTATACACAGAAGGAATCGAAAGAAGAAACACTGTAAGTCGGCGGATAACATTGAAAATTCCGGAAATGATCAACCAAGTGTACGCGCTTTCATGCAATATAAATATTCACACCCACAGAAACCAAACTAAGTGTGCATGAGATACCCTGAAATGGGGAAAATAAACTTTGCACAAGATTGCAAAAACACTTAATGATCAACTCACCGTGTTCGCTAACTCCAAGAAATTACTTGATCGAGACTGTCCCTTAGAATTGGCCACAGACATAATCTGTTGAAGAGTTGGGTCGCCGCTTAAATCATGTGCACCGCTGTCGATTTCCCAACTCTCTCTACCGGTCGACTTCTCGTTCATTTTATTTGTGTTAATCTCGTCTTTTGAGATATCCTCCGTCACATTCGGCTTTTCAAATTCTTTGGCTTTCAAAACTTGTTCTCGTATATGTTCCAGCGACACCAAACCATCGCCGTTGTCAGAACCCAATTGTTTGATGATCCCTTGAACACTGTCCTCTTTAAGCCTCAACTGCTTGCATGTTATCGACAAGTCAGGGCTGTGAATTCACAAGACAAAACATAAAGATAAATAAACCCCCGGTAAGCCGGTGAAACGCTACCAGCAGTATTAAACAGCGGCGAAATGATTAAACAAAATGATCGACAATGACAAGCAGTATGAAAGACAATGTTTTGTCACGTAATTCCAACAAAATGCAATGACCCGAAACTCGACCGCGGTTTGACGGGTCGGCGGTAAAGCATACTCTTCTTACATTCAAGAATCTTAAAACTTTTAATCCTCCAGACGTAACGGCATACCTCTCAAGAAAAGCAGTACTGATTCCTTTATCCCTTGCGTTTAAAATCTTACGAAAGCTTTCTTCCAAACTTTCACTTGATGTTCGCCTTGAACTCGCGGACGAAAAGGAAACCGACAACCCATTTTCGTTGTCACTCATAATCAAGTTGGCGTTTCCCTGGTTTTCATATGTTAAATTCCTCTCAGGTAATCCAGAAAACTTTCCCTGAAAAACGTTTTTACATCCATGAAGAAGACTTTCCTCGTAAAAGGAATGAATGTACAACTTTCGGCAATACTGAACTGCGGGATGCCAAAACGTGATTGGTTACCAAGCGGTAGGCCCTCGTATTTTGATACTTTCCGGGGAGGGTATAGGTCACCATCCAGATCCATTACCGCTCAAAATTTGTAGTTATCAAACACAATAAACGCCTACTTACACGATAATATATTTTTACGCTACAATTCTTGCCTGTGTTCCTTTTACTCAAGAAATTACTATGGAGGTAAGATCAATTTTAAAGTTTGAAAAAAAAAATTGCCTGACCCTACCCCTAAAGAAACATAGACTTGAAATTACGTACAGGAAACAATTTCCTTTCATTTAGGGAAGGCTATTCACTAAATATACAAGCTATTGTTTTGCAGTTGTAAAGAAAGGTAGGTAGAAATTTCTAGAGTACAATTTTTCTTTTATCAACAAACATCAAGATAAGCATTTCATGAGAAAATAAGACATAAAAACAACAAACACCAAGACAAAACATAAATTCATCGGAACAACTTGGAACAAAGTAAGCTTCATATGTTAGTTGTTTGATCTGTAGAAGGGACTTAAAATTAATCTGTCTCATTAGACAACTGAAAAATAAGACATGTGTGATTGGAACTTTATCCCACGATTTTTAAGGTTACTGTTTCTTTGGATAAAGCTCTTTGAAAATAGATTTATACAAGAGAGATTAGTTATATTTTCTTTCACGCACGTCTGCAAAGTATCAAGCTTTTGTCTACCGAAGCCGGAAAAAGGGCCCTTTATCAAATTTATCCCCAAGAGGGAATTTCAGTATACATACTTCGGTAGTCTTCACAAAGTGACACCTCAAGTAAGAAACATTTTTAAAAGCAAAATAAAATGATTGAGCCCAACGCAATAAAAAATCTTAAATATTAAACCATTGCCTAAAATAAATAAGATTTCTTATAGACCAGACAACAACCTACTTGTTTATTTCTATGAGACTTTTCCGTTAAGACACGTGTAATAAATAGTTTATGCTTCACACACTGAGAGTACACCCCCGGAGTACATACTCGTAGGACAGAGGAGATGGAAATTTGAAACGTCGTCAATATACCGTTCTACAACTTTTGAAATGGACCAGTGAAAGAAAATCCGTCGACACCCACAAAAAGAGCGCCTGAAAATTAGTACAACTGCCAAATTTGAAAGTGATTCAGCGAGCGAAGTTTCGACAATTTACAGACGTTTGTATGGTGGGCGCCATCACACAAATGTCTGTAAAATTTCGCGACTTTGTGATTCATGTAATATCTTCGTTAGTTTTCAAACTTCGCAATTTTGCTAATTTAAGGCGCTCTTTTCAGTGGTGTTGATGGATTTTCCTTACTTGTCCATGAAAAAAAAATTGAAAAATATCGTGGAAGGGCCTATTTATGGGTCTTCCAATACTATCCTTTGCAGATAATTCTTTTGAATTCAGTGACTTGAAGTCCTTGAATTAGCTAAGAACGCAAAACCAGAAAAGGTCCTGGGGACCGAGCAAATTTAGTATAAATATGTTCGCTAAAAAACACACTTCATGTTGAATGTCAGTGTAGGACAGTATTTTTACGTCTCCCGGGAACCGCGGGAACGCCATTTTACCGGGAAGCACCAGCGGACGTCAGAAAACCGGGTGGAAAAGGTTCCCAATACTAGTAAAACCTATTCAACAAAATCACTATAAATAAAAGGCAAAAAGTTCATTAAAACCTGGTATACTACCTGAAGTGCGACAATAAGCAGGGGCACCCAACGAGAATATAGTTCAAAACCACTTAAACATAGCATTGTTAAACGTATTTTAGTATTTAAAAGGTAGATATAGGCATATTTTTATCCCCTAAAAATTTTTCATCTGTTCGGATTTCCAAGCTGAAAGTCTAGTGATTCGAAAATTATTAGGATCAAAAATTACCTTTTCGAAAGTTTCAGCCGGAAATAAGGCTCCCGAAACTTCTAGGTGACCTTTTTAGGGTAAAAATCCGTTAAAAGTGGGTAATTATACCATTTTTTAGATGTTCGAAAATCCTATGAGGGGAAGGCAGCCAAGCAAGAAATTTTACAACAAATGTTCCGAAAATTCTAGATCTCAAATCGTCTTCCGAACGGATATTTTCCGAAAATTGGCGTTGGGTGCTCCTAAATAAGGTTAAAATTAATTATTAGTATTAATTATTACTATTAGTATTAGGCAAGGGTTTGTAACCGGGGGGTTACAGTCCAATGTTTGAGTACAGGGGTGCCGCTGGCAGGTTGAAACAGTGACCATGTGTGGATCAAGTAACCATACTACCCTGATAAAACTCTCTATTTTCGCAGCCTAGTTAGGACAATGGACAACTTTCACAGTCTCTCGTCAGTTGTAGACGAAAGTGATCCAATGTTGACAGGTGATCCGTTAAATAAATACAGTAACGTTTCCGATTTTGTATCGCTAAATACTCGACGACAGTCTCGCAACTATATACCCTATACTCCAGGATGGTTCCAGACATTAATTAGTACAGATTGAGGGCACAGGGGTGAAAAACTGTACATGACCCTATCCTGTAGCTGTATCATTAGAAGACTACGTACCCTCGAGTTAAGTTGTGTTATCAGAATGTAAATAGAAATGGCATATATTATGGGGTGTACCTGTCTCTGGATAGAATCCAGCACTATTTAGTGGTCTGCAAACAGTGTCGTTCATGCAGTCTTTAATAGATCCACTGACATTGTAAGGGATTTTACAAAATTTCGCTACGTAAACATGATTTTTGAAACTAAGTTTACTTGACTCAAGTAGCAACACAGCATGTGGGGGGATGGTTTAACACTGTTCGGTGAACTAATTTCAAATACAGGATTCTGTCTTGTCAAATGTCTGTGATAACAGCGATCCTTAGTTTGGGTTTTGTTTTTTTAAGTTTCAATAATAATGTTATTTTAACGTATTTTAGCCCTTCTTAATAATACCCCCTATCTCTTCCATTCACAGACCTTAACAGACAGGTGAATGTTTAGTTAAAACAGAAATTTGTTTGCCTCAATCGTGCAATCCAACCGTGAAAAGGATTTGTGAGAATCGTGAAGGAATTTGTAATTGTAATCCTCAAAAATAGCCGTCTCGTGCCAGTCTGACGGGAAAATGACGGGAAAAAAAAAAGGAACATCGCGATAGTCACGATTTATAAGAAAAAGTTGGAATTCTATGACGGTAATTTGGCTTAAGTCTCATTCGTATAGTGTCTAGAAACTAGAGTGAATTCTGCCTCTTTTCCCTCCCAGGCCCTTAGGTTTTTTACATCATACACGAAAATATGCCCAGATTATTATACAAGTTACAGGTGGAGAAGGTCAGCCAATATAAAAATTTGCCACAGGCCTAGACTGGAAAACGTTTGCCGAGTCCTGCTATATATTTTTTTTTTTCATACAGTTTCTGGTTTATTTGTGTTCGTTAATGCTATATGCTAATTGAAGTGCATTGAATCAAGTCAGGATAGTCTCGTTCACGTAGCACCTAAATATAAACTAGAGACCAGACCTCACCCAGGTCGACCAGGTTTAAGCTGAATATGCGCAGATCATTAATTATTAAATATACAAGTGGACAAAAGTTGTATTTGAAAATACGACAAGACTGGATTGACAACATTCTACTTCCTTTAATTTTTTTTCTCCTTCCTTTAGTTAGGTTCCATGCTTCCAAAATTTATTTGTGTTTGTAATTTTTTTTTATTAACATTTTTACATTTTCAGTTTGTTTGTGTTTGTTGCTACAACATATTTGTTGTACTTGTTTTTATCATCAATTGATTTATGACACTCCTAACAACAAATTCCTTGTTGGCACAGTAATTTTTATCGAATATTTGAACTTCGGACCCAAAAGGGACAAAAAGGGTGGATGAATGAAGACCCGAGATGAACGGAACTTAGTAAACATAGCAAAGTTGAACTTCAAGTTGTTTCAAAAACTTTAAACTTCCGTTGATGAACAAGAATAAATCTTGTCCAAGAAAAGTCAGCGTGTCAGATCTCTTTAACCTTGACGTGCATAGTTACGTAAGAATCCACAATCAATTTTCCTGTTAGAGCCAAGCCGGAAAGCAATGTTAGAAATGTTGAAGGTTTTCAACAAAAACAAAAACAAAAGCTGGGAAAGGCTGCTCTATAATAAACTGTAAAATCGCGTTTTCAGTTTTTTATATACCTAGTCGCCGGTAATGAAGGATTGAATTTGATACAGCTAGCAACCGTGTCTATTTTCAGACTGAAACGCGAGCGACTTTCGACACCGTTACAACAACAATGATCAATCTAATCGCTAGAAAACTACTCACAACTGAGATACCTTCCATGCATGGAAAGAGGCAGAAAATGGAAATGCCATAATCAGTTACATCAGACATAAAATTTCATGCAACGAAAGCTTTTCACCCTTTAAAAATGGCGGCCATGGCGACTTTAAATCTTGCTTCCGAACTTC